GTTCCAAGGTATCAGAGAGCAATACAGTGGAACATTTGCAGGGGGTGGATTTCATATACACAAAACACAACATATACACACCCACCTACCAAATACCCTGGGGCTAAAATGGGTTGGCATGTTTGGCTAAAATCATTGCTCCCCAACCTCCCAACATATTATTCCATCACCATGGTGAGCACCCAGTAGATGGGGGGCGCCCAACGTTTACATACATCTCCAGCCCCACATACCCCCAGCCCAAGCAGTTGATAAAATGCTACCAGATTGGGGCTGAACTTTATTTTTAGCCGGGGCTCAAGCCCTCCTGATTCTAGCCAGGGTAGGTCGACGGGGATACTAAAGGTACTTTCCTGAACCCTGCTTTTATATATATATGATATGTGTGTTAATGTGTGCTTCTTTTAATCAAAGTAGACGTTCTAAGTGTATAAACAATGAATGCAAACTAGAGTTGCGTGTGGTTCCCATTGTCCATGTGAGGAAGAAGGCTCAGCGATTGTGCAGCAAGTTTGATATCAGGTATCGCTCAAATGAGAAGCCAGGGCTTCACTTGCCATATGCTCACCCCTCTCTGGAGAGGGTCCGAACGTATGTGACTTTGGCTGTGCAAGAGAAAAGAATTGAACCCAGGCTCGTTGCAAACTATGACCAAGTCTGGAGCACAATATACCGCCCTGCTAAGAAGGTCTTGCAGAAGCCTGGTGCTGCAAGAGGTTTGTTGAAAGACCTGCTCAGCAAGTCCATGGCTATGCGCAAAATCAGACACAACATAGAACGATGCTTGGACATGACTCTTACAGAAGAAGACCCTGCTGGCGATTCTCATCCCGAGTCCAAGCAGGGCTTGCATGAGATCGCGGGAGAGAGTGCTGCTGTAGCACCTGTAGATGAATGGCGGGTGCCCCGCACAGTGACAACCATTAGCTTTGCTGATGGGCACGTGTCTCGGGCCTACGTGACCTTGCGGAGCGGCTCAATGCCTGAATCTACCAGAAGGCGATTGAACAAGGAGCTGGACAAGTTCCTCTTCATTGAGCAGCAGCAAGTTTCCAGCCACATTTGGAATGAATCCACGCAGGTTAAGTTCTTGAGCTTTTTGGCACAGGAAGTACGAGCAAGACGGAAGATGCTTGGGTTGGATGCATCAGCTCGTGCTTTGGTGCTTATGGACCAAGCATCTGCACACATGTCCAAGCGGTATGAACGCATCCAGCAGCAATGGAGCAAACAGAACAATATTGCCACTTGGTCTTTGTCGCAATGGATTTTCTTCTGTGTTCTATACTTATAACATCCTACACCTTTTGATTTGGGTACAGTCAATTTTCCTGAAGTTTTTATGGTTCTTTAATGATTTTACATATACACACACACATATATATATACAAACATGTGTGTGTTTTGTTTCAATCGGGAACATACTTTGCTCATCCTTTGAAGGAGCTCATGTCCGGCCGATCTGCCACCCCCGTGCCCAGTGGCTTTGGCGCGGCCGCTGGGCCTAACGATGGGTGGCATCAGTGGCTTCACGCGCTGACCAAATCGTACCTACGATTGGCGGTGGGGTGGGGCTCTTGGCCACAGCTCCGGACCCGTCTAGATGAACTGCAAATGGGTCTGCAGTCCCAGCCAAGCACAAAGCATCTGGATTGCGCATGGTAAACATTTAGTTTTGGTATTGCTTCTTCTTGTTGTTGTGGTTGTTGCTTTGTACAGTATATCTAGTTCCCAAAGGCAAATTTCACTAGCAATGTTCTAAGTGCACCATTCCCACAGGTAGTTGGAACTACCAAGACAAACCACTTGGGCTGTGCTCACAGCCAAGGTGCCCTTTGGAAGTATCGCTGAGGGCAGATGCTTGGGCAATTTCGATGCTGCAAGAGAAAAGGCACCTCTTCTCAAACCAAACGGTTGTTGGGACAAGGTCTTAATTAGAGTGGGACGTTCTAAGTGTATTCAGCTGGTGGAGAATAGGTGGCGCACACATGAATGTACATTGTATATATATATACAGCAAGTGGAAGATGTCGCTGACTGGCAAGTATGAGGATCAAATTTTGTGTGAATCAAGTCTGTGAGGAACAGCCGGCTTATTTGGACGTCGTGGCTGCAAAGGGGCTATTGCTCTCAAGAGGATATTGCTCGATGGTTGTTCCGAGGTTCCTCGTCACTGACTTTAACATAATTTGATTGAATCCTTGCTTTTTGAATCCTTCATTGAACTTGGATGTTCTAAGTGGATGTCCACACAAGTATATTGCTCATCTTGTACACATGTAAATGTTTCATATGTGTATATATATATATATAAATGCACATACATAAACATATAAACAGTCAAGCTCGTTTTGTTGTCACTGGGCCAATGGTTTATGTATCAGGAAACCTGGACAAGATGCGCGAGGAGATGAATCAGCCACGTGGTGCAATGGATGATCTTCTGCACCTTACAGACTTACCGGATGTGGACGGGGAGGACGTCGATGGCACGTTGGTTCACATGAGGGTCCAAGAACTAGTGCCTTGCAAGATCTTGAAAGGCGTTGCAGTAATTTGGGGATAAATTGGGACTTATGTATGTGTATATATATAACACTATATGTTTCTGATTGACCTAGCTTTAACATGCTTTGGTACACGAGTATGTCTAAACAATCTCATAATGAATGGAGTTACTGTTTGTTTGCTGATAGCTGTTCTGGACATGTGTGAATGTTCTAAGTGTGCACCCACCACATGTGGTACCAAGGCTGGTGAGACCAAGCTTTGCTGGGCAATCCAGAAGGGTGATGATAGCTCCACTCGTGTGGCGCTGCCTACATATATCAGTCAAGTGCTGGAGATGAGAGTATGTAGCTTTGTCAGTGAGCATTCAGCATGGGAAACAAGAATTGAGGGTCGGTTTGCTCAGGGCAAGAATTTAAGCAGCCGACAACAGAAAGCGTATGATCAATGGAAGTTGAGATGTGAGCAGCAGCTGGTGTTCTCCAAGCAACATGAGTGCCTGGTGTGTGATTCCAAAGATGTTGATGAGAGGTGCTTCTCAATTGACCTTTTGCTGCGTGAGGATCCTGAGAAGCTGAAGGTCAAGGCCAGCGACGGGTCTGAGTACAGGCTTGTCTTGTTGCAGAGTGCCCCGTCCATCCAACCTCATGATGACCTACCCTCAGAACTGGATTTGGAATTGCCCGAGGGCATTGCTGAAGGCATGGAACTAGCGGAAGAGGGTTCAGCTGAATCAGGCGAGGAAGCTGCACCCGATGAGTTTGCTGCTCTTCAAGAGGCAGATGAGCAGTACGCCCATGACAACCTGGAAGCTGAGCCTGATGCAGATCTGTTTGCACTAGCAGATTCAGATGAGGAAATATGTTTGGATGAGGACAACATCACGCAAAGAAGGTGAAGTCCTTCAACTTTCGTCCGGCTTGGAAGTCTTTGGAAGAGAAGGGGCTCACCATGCTACCGCGTGGAGTGCCGGGTTGCAGTATATCGTACCACGCCACCAGCAAACAGTGGCAGGGGATGTATCCGGGAGTCCATGACCGCGCAGCAATTCCAATGTCAGCCGTGTGGGGTGGCACCACGCGTCGCAGTGAGCCAGAAGCCATTCTACGGGCCATCAGGGGTATATTGCATGCTCACATTTCACTTAATCCGAAAGAGATGTTATGGAAAGGACAATTGGCCCGAGTAGAGCAAGCAAAGGCAACACAAAGTTTTTGATTTCATCTCTCAGGGTACAAATGTTTCCAGCTAAGTGGTGCGCAACCACAAATATATATAATGTTTGTGTTTGTTGTATATAATGTTCTAAGTGTGTTGGGACTGCCACCTAAAACTGAGCCGCCGGAGGTGTGGGGATTCCTTCAGTTTCATTCAGATGCACAAGCTGAATGATTCACAAGAAACCAAAGGATACACCAATGGTTAGCATGATGAACTTTGGTGGAAATCCCCACTAGCTTATTATATGTGTGAAGTGGCCATGTCCTCCATTTCCTGCACGAAAACAGCATTCTCCCTTGCAAGGTTATATAGTGTTCATTTGTAGCTCTCCATGTACTGAGCATTGTTATCTATCTATCTCTCTATCTCTCTCTATCTATTGTTATTGTTTTGATGGATGACTCCGGAGTTGAAGAGCCTTGCTTGGGGTCCAATCATGTGCAGAGCGCTGATGATGGCCAAGACTTTTAGTACAGCTTGGCCCCGGCTGTGCACCTACCAATGGTGCATGCGCGCTGTGCGTTCATGATTCAATACCTGGTGTGACTTGCACCACCGGGCTGCACAACTGCAACCTGTGTCCGACGCATAAGGTTTGATTCAAATGTAAAACACCATGTTTGTTTGTATCAAATGTTCTATGTGATGCAGCCCTAAGGGGATTTGTGCATGCATTGGCGCAATGGGCCAATGGAGGCAACGGTTCAATGAATCAACTGTATCATGATTTCCTATAGTTGTTTCTGGGAAGATGCGCCTATGTGACATTCTGTGTTTGCCGACATAGTGTTGGTGCTCCTGCATCAATGCGGCTGGGGTTGCCTTTGCAGGCGATGTTTCACTGTGTTCAGGATTTGAGAGCTAGGGCAACACGAAAGAGAGAAGACAAATAGTTTCCATCTGTGCTCTTTGGATGCAATGCTTGCTACAAAACAAGGGGTGTAGTGAAACACACAAACACATGTCATGTTCTAAGTGTGTGCACTCAGAGAGGAATGCATCATTGCTCTTTTGACACAAAGAAAGCCTTACTATGTAGACCTGCCTTGAACCTTCTCTGCTACTCTATACGGCAGCTTTGCTCCTATCCGCCTTTTCTTCCCACAGCTTTCAGGTGGTTTTGCAATTCACCTGGAACTTTTCCACTTACTCATACGCGAATCAACAGTGTCGCTCCTATCCCGCTTTTGCTTCCACAGCTTCAGGTGGTCTTGCTATTCACCACTACCCCCTACACCAAGCGACAGGAACGTGCTGCTTGTGTCCCCATGTTCTAAGTGCATACACTCACAATGGAATCCATGGCACATGCATGATTGCTCTTTTGTTTCATCATAGAAAGCCTCCTTGTGTAGACCTGTCTTGATCTTTTCTGCTACTCCACTACGCCAGGCCAAAGACCTCAGGTGGCCTTGCACTTCACCAGTATATGTATATACAACCCTCTTGCATCTATCCATGTTCCTCATATATAATGTTCTAAGTGTGCTGATGCAGCATGTTCTAAGCGAGCAATCCTTGGACGTTCTAAGTGTGCAATCCAGGATGTTCTAAAAACGATGTTCTAAGTAAAGGGTTTCGGGTTTTGGAAAAGCGATGTTCTAAGTGTATGTCTGCAAGTATATAAAGTTCTATAAATATGTAGGAGGGTGGTAAGAAAGAGAAGTAGCAAAAAGGTAAGGACCATGAGAAGAAGGAGCTGTTTCCAATGACTTGTTGACCATACATCCCCAGTCCAACAGAAGGGAGAAGGATGGCGAGAAGAGGCATCGATGTAGAATGCTCCAAATGACTTCTGCGGTCGACATTCCCTGTAGTCTTGACATTTTGGGGGTTTGTTGTTTCAGCCAGGAGGCCAGCAGAAAAGACATTTCATGTGACATGAAGGAATCAAAGGAGCAGTGTTGGTTGTTGGAACCTGTTTCCTGCAAACAGTGTCCAGGTGGGCTTGGCCACACGTGCTCCGTTTCCCTTCCACCTATTAAGAATATGGGTGCCCCCTCCCCTTAAAAAAAAGGTCTGCATCTTGGGTTTTTTAAATTCCCGAAAGCATTGCGAAGAGTTCTTCCGGAAAATCCCTTGAACACTGACATCGTGCTCTACGCATTGCTGATGAAGGCTCCGAGTACCGCGGTGACACAAAAGGCTAGAGGCATTCTTTCTAATGCAAGCTGGATGAAGAAGGTCTGCGCATTATGCCATCAAGTCAGATTAGCACTGCCATTTGAAGGGCGGCTTACTGGGCATGGCCTGGTCATTCCAAGAGGACATCCTTGTGGGTTGAAAGTGTCACAAAGTACGCATAGCAGTCGGAGCTATGTCAAGGTAGGCAAGTGGCAGAACACCTTCCGGCTGGCAGAGAAACTGGCGTGAAGGTTTGTCAAAAGCGGCCAAACGCAGACAGAGGGACAAACTCAAGATTCATGCGCTGCAGGAGACTCAAGTTTAAGATGCACCATGAATCAAGGCAAAGTGTGGTCAAAGGGTTCAGGCAAGAGGCAGGATGGCGGTCATACACGCAAAGCAGGTCGTGAGTTTGTGCCAGACAGAGATGGCAACGAGATCTGCTTCGCTTTTTGTAAAGTTTTAAAGGTGCCCTTGGTGCGTGCCCTGAACCTTGTCGGAGTCAGAGATCGCATCTCTGCCAGTACTGCTAAGGCGCCCATCCCAACTCCCAGTGCAGAAGAGGACCTTTCCAGTGGAGAACCCTTCACTTCCTTTCATCTTCTGGCAGCTGAAGGTGGTGCTGCGGCTTTTTCGACTACCAGATGTTGAGTTAGTGTTGCTGCATCAATGCCCGTATGTGCCTGTCTTGCCCGCGCCACCTCGAGCTAAGAAGGTCTGGGCCCGGCGGCCGAACGGACTGTCCGATCCCAATACTCTTGACATCGTGCTGCATACTGAAACACTCCAACCCATGGGCAAAAGGGGCCAAAGTCCAAGTTCATTAGCAACCTCCCTTCATTGTTAGCTCTGTCTGATCAACTCACGCTGGTTACGGTATCTATCAAACTGCTGACCTCTGCACCTATTCTCCGCCTGCATAACCACATGCCAAGCTTCAGGAAACTCTTGATTGAGTTTTGCAACCTGTTGAAGAGCAACCATGACGATGGGTTCGGCGGGACGATGTGCTGTAGGGTTGGCTAGATGTTTGATCATGAGCAACACTGTTCTGTAAATCTTCCAACAAGCCGCCCACGCACCGTATGTGGGAGGACCCGGAATCTCAACTGTCTTGCGCCTGTCATATGGTGTCAGTACTGAAAATCAGCATAAGGCGCTTCACGAAAATGTCAGCTGTAGTCAACAGTTCAACTTCAGTTTCGCCCAGCTGATCAACCGCTGGGCTCATTTGACATTCTTGGTGGATGAAGCTCCTGCAGAAGATGCAGCAGCTCCCCCACCTCCGCCAGCAGTCCTAGGGGCTGTAGAGGCTGTAGCGTAATCAGGCAGCAAGGGATCATTGTCCACTAGTCCACAAGCAAGCCTAGCAAAATGCCAAGTCAACGCAACCTGAATGATCTCCACAGCTGAGAGAGGGCGCTCACGGCCGCGTGTGGGGGGAATTCGCGCGCTGCTAGTAGCCTCCTGGAGAGTGTGTTGAGGCAATGTTGCAAAACCCGCAACTGCGTGCAGCCACCCAATGTATTGGAAAACTGCCGCCACACGGCTGGTTGAAGCCCGGCGCATGTACACACACGCTCAACAGTGTCAAGGCCGCCCAGTTCCGCGTCTGTGGGTAACAACTGTCTTGCCATGCAGTAATCCAGGAAACGACTGGGGACCGATGAGCGTAGGCTGCAACTGCTCACAATCTGAGGGCTTGCGGGGCACCAAGCAACACCACACGCAGCAACTTCCACAAAGAGCCCTAACAAGAAACGCCACGGCCAGGAACAACTCCAAGAACATGGCATTAAAAGATGGGGGCCCGTGGTAGCTGATGATCTTGAGCCAAGATGGTGGTTCAAGATCATTTTCAACCCTACCACCAACAAGACAACCACCTGTTTCCATTCTTATTTCACGAACCCATAAAAAATGCTTCCACAAAGCTTCGGGAACTTCTAGGACTGCACAAGGGCGCAAAAAACAAATCCATTGTAACCAACAGTAGACCACGAAAGATTGATGAAAAAAGACAGGAACCCACTTGTCTGCACAGTTACTGTAACCAGCAACTGGTTCATGATTTTTCCTATTCCCCCAAACATTTAATTACTGTTGGGGTTCTATCTTAGAAACTAGACGACGAGTGGCCCGAAAGCATTTTTCATCACGTAGGAAGTCAGAGTGCGAGTTATCTGTTAAGTGTGAAGTGTTAAGTCGAGTGAGTTGAGGTAGTGTGTGGGTCTCTGTGTGTGTATCTATGTCCGTGTGTATATGAGTCTCTGTCTGTGTGTGTGTCCGAGTAAGTTGAGGCAGTGCGTGGGTCTCTGTGTGTGATGTGTGTGTATGAGTCCCTGTCTGTGTGTGTATGTCCATGGTGAAGGTCTTCACTGTACATATAGTGAACGAATTAGCGCGCAGGCCTCCCAAACCCCCCACCGGCGGCCAAGCGGTGACAGCCCAGCTCATCGTCGTGAGCATTTGGGCTGCTGGTAAGGGGAGAAGCAGCGTGCACGCCTCCAGGACATCTCACTGAAAAAAGCAAGCTGGAATGAAGCGTACTAA